CACAGCATTTCCATCTCTGGATTCTATACAGAAAATGGTGGAAATAATTAGAGTTTATCTGTAGAAATTCTTGAACATTCAATCATGTAATATGACTGAAAACAGATATGCCCTTTTAATATGTACTCATCAATACAATTTAAGTTATTACACGGGATAAATATTGTAAGATGACATTGAATGTTGAGAAGGCTTGAGTCCACAAGTTCAATACATATCCTAACTGTAACTTACATGAATTCCATTTTCCAGTTGTTTGTTGGTTTGGGTTTGAAGTTGCTCCTTGTCATACGTGAATTCCATCTTATCTAATCAAAGGTTTTTGCAATTGTTTGTTGGTTTGAAGTTGCTCCTTTAATGGTAGAAGATTAATGTTTGTGCCCTTCCCTCATTAATCCTTTCTCCCTCCCTCCATCCCCCGTATCGGCTTTTATGCATTTTTGTGATTATGTTGCAGATTGGAGGCAGCAGTGTTCTGATATTTCCTTTGGCTGACATCTTCAGTGAAGAAAAACCAAGATGGAGCCTTTTTGATGTTTAATGTAATTATCTATTGGACAAAGGCATTTGCCTATAACTATCGCAAGTGATAGCAGTGACTCCATTTTGATGTAATTTCTCGTTGACATTATCTATAGCAAGTGATAGCAGTTAACCTATTTTCATGTAATTCCTATTTGAAATTATCTATTGCAAGTGAATGAATGCAGTAACCCATTTTGATGTAATTCATATTAGCATAAGAAACTAGTAAAAGGTACATTGTTGTTAAAACATTATAAATGGAATAATGAACAACAACAAACTGACATTAGCATAAGAAAATGGTAAAGGTTACATTGTTTTCAACCATAATCTGCTAACTACATACTTCACTCATACGAACAAGATAAAAATAAAACCCTTCGATAAGTTTGTGCATTACACATTCAACTAATAGGAGCTCAGAATCAATTCGGCCCTTTCCTTTTGCAATCCCTTCTAAGCTTCCTTTGCCCTTGCAGATGGTCACCTTGTCTACTTCTTCAGGTGGCACAGATTAAGAATGCACCAATTTAGCTGCCAACAATGAAACACCCAAAACCATAAAGCATAATTCTCACCAATTTCATATAATTCGCACCAATTTAGCTGCCGGCAAGGAAACACCAAAAAACACAAAGCAAATTTCATGTATTTCTCACCAATTTCATATAATGAGCACCACTTTAGCTGCCGAACAGAAACACCCAAAACCATAAAGCAAAATTCACATAATTCTCACCAATTTCATATAATTCGCATCCTTTTTATTTAGCCGTTCAAGGACAAAATTCGCAAATATCCAACCTAGATAATCTATTCACAACTATATTTCAGAATTAAACAATACAGGTTAACGAAAAACTCATCAATTACAGTACAATGCCAAGCAAAATCAAAAGGCATGTTGCCCCATTTCATCGACACCATCACACTAGAGAATCAATTTCTGATAAAATAGAGAACATTCTACCTGGGCAGAGCTGAACAACGATTCACGAAGAAGGCTATGTTGTAAAATTGTTGGAAACCGATAACGAGAACACGCTGTTGGGCTCAGGAGATGGCGGTAATTTCTTCGAATAACTCCAGACGCGATGCCTTTCACACAGGAAACGGCGTTCGGAGATGGTGATGGCTTCAACGGCGTTCGGATGTGGTAGGTCGAGCGACGCCGTGTGTTTTGACAGTCGTGCGGCGCGGCAAAATTTCGACACCAAGTGTGGCCGAAGATGGCGGCTTGTGATTGGGGATATCAATTTTGGGAATCAACTTGCCGATTTCCAGTTGGTGAGCTGTGGGTAGGGTTTCGAATTTGGGGGTGGCTTGTCTTGGCTTTGATTTGGGTTTGTGGAGTTTGGGTTGGTGACTTGGTGGTGTCTGGGTTTGCTTCAGTGAATTTTCAATTTTTGTTTTGTTTTTTTTTTTTAAACATACACTTTCCACGTCATCCTGTTTTTCACTCGGTTTGCAGCACCCTGGACAAGTAGCGCGACTGCTCTCAATTAATGTCTGACTCGTGG